TGTGTGTAGTCTGTGTCTCTGCAGTATGTGGCTCTCTCTATTGAGGCCTGAGTGTGCAGAGGGAAGGGCTGAGGTCTACAGGGCTCAGGGGACAGGATAGAGTCAAATCCTCTGGGCCACATCTGTCATGAAGAATGGACCTGGGTGATGGTTATTGAACAAAATGACTAGTTCGAGACCTAGAGTCTGCGTATGTGTCCGTGTGAGTGTATGTGTGTCTGTTTATATGTCAGTATTTCAACTTTCTTTACTTCTACTTTTAGTTAAGTTTTTTGAATTCTTGCTGTGGCAGAGAATTGTGACACCCGAGTTACACGTGAAATATGCTGCTTTTCCCATCTGTCTCACTCTGCCGTTGCTGGACAGCTGTTAACAGTTCTGTAACGTTATTCCCATCACTCGCAGGTACCATATTTGCCAAGTAAGCTGCCTGTCCCACCAGTAGAAACTGACCTCTGGTGGTGCGTGATGTGCACTACATACAGTACAGCCTCTCCTATAGTAAGACGAGAATCTGTGTTTTTAATGGTATTGATAATCTGGAAGTCTGGATTTCTAAATACCATTGTGTACAGCAGGGTTATTCAATTACAAATTCATATGGCCCTCCTCAACATGATACAGAAACAGAATAAAAAAGAGCTCTCAATGCACAGAAGCATATCAAGTGGCATAAACAGTAGCTTATAATATCTATCACTCTACCATCATCTCCCTCTCTCTTTCTCAAGCATACTGTAGATGTCGTCAGCTAGAGTCATCTTGAACCTATATTACCTTCATCTGCACTATGGCCTCTCTGCTGTTGTCTGACTTCACTCTGTCATGTTTGTGTGTGTGTTTGTGTGTGTGTGTGTGTGTGTGTCTGCACATGTGTGGAGGAGGTCAGCCCCGACATGCAGAGAGCAGGAAAGAGGCTGCAGCATGATGATACATAAAACCAAAACTTTTAAAAGTTACGATAAAGAGCTGATAATGTCTGAGCTTTTTATTGTTGACCTCAGCAGGAAGTCAGTATCCTCTTCAAGGGAGACCTGGCCGTTTATAGATTAAATGAAATATTTTTTGACTATTCTAGATTTTAAATGGAACAAGTGAGCCCAATCAAGATCAACACCCTGGTCCCCTGCTCCACCCATACTTATGAGTTTGGGTATGCAACACAGAGCAGCCCTCGTCTTTAACTGCATCATATTTTCTTTCTGTGTATGGTAAACAGTTGTATACTGGCAGCCTGTTTGTCTCTTTTATCTGGTTGTTTGCTCTAGCAGAGACTTCATTGATCCTATCATGTGTACTGTCGCTCACTCCAAGAGCCTGCACTATCTGCAAATCCATTTTAAATCCCGAGCTTCCTATTATGTTTGTGCGCATCTGTCTGTGAGTACGTGCATTTAACTTGTGTGTCTGTGTCTGTTATTGGTGCTGTACGCCATACGCACAATAAATACTGACATTCTGAAAGATACAAAGCACTGAGGATTTCATACATGTGCAACAGAGAAGAAAAAAACGTGCACTGGCATTTTCTGTGGGCACAGCGTGTCTGGGGATTTCCATCTTTTTCTTAATCGCTGTGTGGTATGATGAGACCTGACTTGACATTGTGTTCTGTGTGTCTCTGCGTCACTGTTTGTTAGTCACATTCATAGACAAAAGGGCTTAATGTTACATGGTCAACTGTCATCCAATCCTATTGGATGTATCCACCCACAGTTCAATTACAATACATGCCCTGTTGACCCCAGGTTTATCTTATCCAAACACACAGCTTGAACACTCTCTGTCCCTGAATGTTTGCTGTGGATTCTCCAGATATTTGTTGAGCTGGTGCACCTGTTACCTAACAACAGATTACTTTTGTTGTGTCTCACTTTTTCCTTTTCCCCCAAAAACTGACTCTAGTTCTCTTCCTCTCTAGTTTGTACCTGTTTGACAGCAGGTGCTGTTAGGCTACAAGTGCTGAGGGTTGACTTTTCCATGGAGAGCACTGCATTTCCCATCTAGCTGCTGTGGTTTGAAGTGCTGCTGTGTGTTATTTGTACCATGATGAAAAATAGTAATGCGCACAACTCCAAAAATCTTAAACGATACAGATAGCAAGGATCCAAGAACAATCGGAACACTGGCCCTCATAGATAAATTTACTTACTTAATGTGGGCAAAATGAACAAAAACACATGGCTACAAAGCCATCATCCGCAATGATGATAATGCTTTGTGTTGTATATACAATCTGTACTATCCTCTGCACATAAACATGTTGGTATTTTGTAATCATAGCTATTTGAATTACACTGGAAATGGTTTACAGTGATCACGGTTACAGTGATCAACTGCTTATATGGATCAGAAAGCTTGGGACAGAATCCTATACAAAGGATGTTGTAATTATTTCCATATAGTAATCAAGTAGCCTGCTTACAGTGTTCAATTTGGGTTTTTCATTCACAACATATGGAAAAAATTAAAGCTGCGCTAATTTAATTTTGAAAATTTTACTCCCATGACACTTTGTCTTGTAGTAACCCATCTGCTTCCAGCTGGCTCCCTGAGGCTGATGCTGCATGCACATTGAAATCATTGCAAAAAAAAGAAAATTTAATTGCGTCTCAATCAAAAATGTAGTCTCTTTGAATCTTGCCAAACAAGATGCAGCAGATAAACTTGGTGCTCCTCAGGCTACTCAAACGAAACACTCATGGCTGCTAGTGATGGACACAGAAAATGACTGTGCACGCACAGGGAAAGCACCTGTGGTTGAAGCCGCCCTCATTATATGGATTGTAATGCTCCTCTTAAGTGGGCCCTTAGTGAGTTATATTTCATATACAGGACGGTATTATCATGTATTTGAGTTATACACAGTACAAAAGCCTAATTTAATTTGTGCAGGTATTTGAAAAGTGTTTGAAACAGCTGTACTGTGTTTTGAAACAGTCAATAAGATTCAACAAATAGTGAAGCTGCCAGTTTTATTATTATTAGTTATTATTAGTTTATATTCATGTAATAAATATACAGATGTCAATTAAGTGATAATCTGCATGAGAAATGTGATCAATTTGACCAAAGTGATTACTTGAAATGGTTTCCACTAATTATTGCCCTTAATGTGTTGACAGTGACAGTGATTCTCTTTGGCAAGTGTCAATGGGCTGCCAGTACTGACATGTTGTCGCCTGAACTGCATAGATTTACAGCTATTTTAAGACTATTTTCTAAATTGATATTCCTCAGATGTAGTTTAATAGTAGCATAGTTTTTGAATTACCTTTTGTGTGTCATAACATGATAGCAGTATCTCCTGCAGTCTCTGCACACACTTGATAGCACGTTTGTTTCTCAAGTGGCATATTTACCAGTCTCAGTTTCCTCATGCATAGAAAATGAAAGTTAATCATGATATTCATTATAGATTATTACATTAGCTTCTGAGGGCAGCCCGAGATAATCGCTGTAATATAGTGGGACTGCAATGGACTGCAGTGTAATTATACTCACTATTATTAACCTGTAGCCTCGATGCAATGCTGTCCCTACAGTACTGAAGAACAGTGCTGCACTATCATATTCCACCATAACAACGTCAGGCTACGTCTAAAAATAAGGTGCTGACTGCTGATTGCTGTGCATATTCCATTAACAACTATTAAATATGTATATCGTTAGCATTATTACACACAGACATATAGACTGTTACTGGGGTTACCCATCCTCCACTGTTATTACAGGGATTTTTGTCGACAATAGCCCACAGTCAGTTTATGATTTAAGGCAGCCAGACATCATTCTGGAGACAATGTTATTAGCAATTACAGGAAATGTTATGACAGCATCATTAGTGTGCATTTTGATGACAGTGTTAAAAGGGAGTCTCCTCGAGGGCTGCCTTTCTCCTTTTTCTTCCCCATTTGCATCCTTACCCTAATTTTAGCTGTCCAAAGATCACTCTGCTCTGGTGCTCCGCTCTAGAGAGAGCTGCTCTTATGCTATCCTTGGTAGTCTGTTAGTGGCCTCCCAGTGGCCCACTAGCATTTTTCTGCTCTTTTATAGCTATGCTTAGCCTCATCTCAGAGTACGATAGCTGGGTAGATATGACAGCAGTGCCCACGCACGAGCTGGGGGAGGGGTCTGAGAATAAAAATAAGATGAGCAAAGGCTGGATAATGAAAGTAAGCTGTAGTGGATCTCAGAGCATACCCTGGTTCGTCATGTGGCTCGCTAATGGGCCTCTACATCCAAGGGGAACCATGATTAGAGCCACGGGGGGCTCCCTGACAAAGTACAGTACAGCACTGCCCTCAGGGCTGCAGCATGGCATGTAATGCCATAGAGATGACCCCTTCCAATAGCTTTATACTCAGAAGCTTTCCAAGGAGGATGCATGCCTTTTACAAGTAGTTGTCAGGCTACACATTCAGCATGTATCATGTAATGTACAAATATTGACTTTTCAAAGTGTGAGAAATTTCTCTGTTTACCTTTTTAAATGTCTTCTTAGCTGCAGGCTTTTTATTTGCCCCACTCAGAGAGATTCATTCAGAGCAAAGTGATGCTGCAGCAGAAATTTCTCTTACATTTTGGACACGTTTTAGCTGACGTTTAACTTTCATTGTATCTAAATATTAATGGCTCTGACTCAGACCAAAAGTTATCTGCCTTATAATATAGAAATAATCATCTTAGGAAGTCAGATTTATTAAGATACTGACCATTTTGAAATAGCTGCCATTTAATTTGACATATTAATGTATATCTTCTATGCTTTTATTGTGGTTATCTTTTGCTGCTGCCTTGGCCAGGTCTCCCTTGAAAAATATATTGTTGCTATTATTGATTTTAATGTCACATATGTGCTTGCTGATGTTGTCATTTCTTTGACTCAAAGATGTGTCTGGTTTATGTACTGTATGTCTTCTTCCTTTTCTTTGTCCTTCTCTTTATCCTCCACTGTACTGGTAAACCTGTATAGCTCATGTGACTTCTTCTCTCTACAGGGCATCAACATAGTGGGGCCCAGTAATGCAGAGCCGCTGCCTCGACCTCCGAGCCCAGCCATGTACCAGCTGGATATCGTCCTGAAGAAAGGGAACAACTTGGCCATCCGAGATCGGACAGGTAGGAGCTCTGTTTGTTCTTCCTGTTACCTCAGCAGCATTGAGGTTTATGTGTGAAGACAGGGTGGACAGCTTTATCAAGCCTCTATTTAGCTCACCAAATGAAAGCTATGCTACCCTGCTCTCTGTCTACCTCTTTCGATTGCTTTTTCACTGATGCAGGCAGCCCAGCACCCAGGATACCATCTTTGAAGAACTGAACTGTCTTGTGCTCATTTTCATTCTTAGTGTATCCTGCATTCACCTGCTGTCTTTGGGGGTCTTCCTCCATTTTTATAAGTGCCTCTTTTTGTCAATGTAATATTTATCTTGGCACTATTCTTTCCTCTCTTTTCACCTCAATTTTATGTTTCTCACATTGCGCTCCCTTTCTTTTCTCTTTCTTATCTCGCTCCCCTTGTAGGGTTTTATTAAATCACACATCTTGTCCTCACGCCTCACTCCATTTTCCATGTGTGAAGTGAGATGAAATTACTAGGGATGATGCGGGGCATTTCATGTGCATCCAGGAAAACAATTCAGCTTTGGCTCAAGCTAGAACAATGTCACATTGTGAGCCAGTTTTTGCTAGTATGATACCCTGGCTGCTTTTGTGTAATATGACTAAACCATAGTGTATGTCTTTCACTCCAGTGTTCCAGTGTGATCAAGGCTTTTAGTTTAAGTAACGACTATACTGTATTGTTTATTATTTCATGAGACCCATATTCTCACACGTTTCTGCATTTCATGATAAATATTTAATTCAGTGGCTTAAAAGAACCAAAGTCAGAGGGCCAAAAGTATTGAGTGGCACTTCATAATGGTTAAGGGAGGGGTGGAGCAGGAGTGCGAATGTTTTTGCAGTGTTATCTTGAGTTGTCGCCCATTGTGGAGATAAATAGAGTTTATCTGCCCTTTGCACCAGTTTAAAAGATATTATCTCTATTAAACAAGCTGCTAAACAGTATTTTTTTGCGTCTTTGGAGCGATTGTGATTTTAACTGCAAGACAGATTCTAACCCACTGTGGAGGCTATCTGAGCACAGCCCTAATAGTGTTTTTAAGCAGGCAGTTATGTCTCGCATAGTGGAAAGGCCAGCCAGAAAAACAAGCGAGGCGAGAGATTTTCTTATAAAAACTCACAGACAGTGGTTTGGATAGTGATGGATGCAGAGGTCTCATTAATGGTTGTAGCAGTAACCATGACGACAGACCTGAAGAAAAAGCTCCCTCCCGTACATTTTGCTTGACTACCTGGCCGCCTGGATAATGAGCAGTGAGGCACGGAGCTCACCTGTCCTGTCCTGAGTGCATAAAGACAGCTCATTAGAGAGAGAAGAAGAGACAGAGACACAGTTAAATAAAGGAGATATCGTGGATTGAATTTAATATGACCAATAATATCTTAATAACAATCAGTGTTGTAACACAGCTTGTTTTGTCACACAGTGTTCAGAGAGTGCTTTTTTGTAAATATTAATATTTGCAGCAACTGATTAAATCTCAACATGCTGTACTGTCAGGACATTCACATGCTTTCCTACAGCAACCAAAGGATAAACTGCAAAAGACAGACATAGGATTTTTGGGATTTTCCATGAGCCAATCAGTCTGAGCTCCATTGTCAGGTAGATTGAAGAAGCGCTCGGTTGTCAAAGAAAAGCATTTTCTGGAAGAAACAATTTACCTCTGGTACCTATTGATTCACTAAAATCCTCGACATGAATTATAAATGACACAGATGGCTCCCAGTTTTGCCTGCAAAACATTTTTTGGAAACATCCTCTCAGAAATACCTCCGCAGCATTATGGAATTTCAGATATTCATACTTAGTGAACCTGGAAGTGAAACTAAAATGAACTGAGCTGAAATTCTCACTTTCATCCAGACTTTGCATACTAATCACCACATTGCAATATATCCTAAAGAAGTGTGGCATCAAATCAAGTGGCTGCTGTCTGATTTCCAGTCAAACTGCTATTAAAGTCTTGAATATTGATGGATACTGGGATTTACAACTTAACTTTAAAGGAGACTCGACATGACTTGACTTTAAAGGAGCTAACAGAAGCACACAGGTAGCAAACGCCTGTCGCCGCAGCTCTGATCCATGCATCAAAGTGATGTATGCACCCAGACACAAGGTTGACTAGTCAGACACAAAAGCGGGGGGGGGGGGGGTTGGCTCAGTGACAAGGGGCATCTGATTTCACATTTCACATTGATATCCCTTTGTTGTAGATCCAAGTCATAAAAGGAAGCTTTTTGTGCAGCGAACAAATGAGGCCAGGGGCTCAACAGAAGTTGAGATGGAAAAGCCCTCACAGCCAATTAAAGGATCTGTTGCTATAACAACATTTCCTCAATTTGAGGAGAGTAAAGTATGGACCCTTCTCAAAGTGAATTCAAATAAGACGGAGAGTGGAGGGACAGTAATGGCAACAAAACATTTGAAATTTGAAATACAACTGTGCCTGACATGGCTGTTCTCCAGAGAAGCACTTTTTTATGATAATTAAATCAGGATGATGTGTTTTAATTTACTTTACATTATAATAATAAAGTATATGTATGCAGTATTGTAAATCAACAGACACTTAAAGCAGATGATTCACTAACTTTAACTTTACATTTTAATTTAAAACATCATGTTACATCTGTGGCCAGAGCTTCTTTCCATCATGCGTTCACCAAACTTTCCCATGTCACATTTCATCGTGGGCTACACAATGTGCTGCAAGCAAGAAGATATGTCTGTCTTTTGGCTATAAGAAATAGAGTTGAATTTTTAATAGTTGAGGATTTCCTCCTCAGCAAGAGGCAAGACAGTGTCCAGAACATGAACAATACATCCAACACCAATCTTTGAAGGCTCATTCTTGTCAGTCTTAGACTTTTTGAACCCTTTATGGTCACTTTCTATACCCATAAAGCACTAGCAAAAACAAGCTACCATGCATACAGTAGCTCACCTGCAAGCAGTGTATATGCAGCTGCTTTCCTGTAAGGGCATGATACAGTAACGAGTCACAAATATGATTTTATCTGATTAAATAAAACATAATTTTTCTTATAAATGGGTTCAAACTTAAAGCACTCCCACTGATTAAACTAAATATGAAATATTAGCCTCTCTTGACTGGCCACAGAAAAGCTTCTTCTCCAGTTGGCAACAGCTGCACTCTCCTGCGCTCCTCATAAAACATTTTGAGCTCTTGCACCCTCTTGTGCTCGTGAATTCCGCTGAGCATGCAGATGCTGTCATCTTAAGCCTGTGAGTGCGCGGCGCTCAGGGCAGAGAGTAGACATGGGACACAGTGAAGGCACTGACATTACATGCTGGAAGAGCAATGTGTCATTATGCAAATATCTATGTGTCACATTATGATAGTATTATGGTGTAATATTAATTTTGCCGTACTGTAGCTCTTATTCACATGTTTTTACATTGACAGTATCCTTTGTCTTCCCTTAATTCCTTAGCAGTTAACCATGTTATCTTCATCCTAATCCTCTTACAGTACACACAAATGTTTGAATATACATGCGTGGGTTGTAGATGCATCTATGTTCAGGATAGTCATTGCCACATTGGCATTATTCTCTGCTAGAGTTTGGTTGTTATCTAGCTGAGCCATCACAGCACACAGACCTCTAAGGGAGCACTTCCCTTATCCTCAGAAGACTGCTTGATATGAGTAAGTCGATACCACTCCCGCACTTGTCTGGTGTTAAGCAAACAAGAGACATTTGGGAGTTTACCACAATAGTTTGCTGGCATTATCATCAGTCTCGCCTCAGTCGGCACAAGCCACTTCACAATTTGTCACCAGGAGAGACAGCCAACAGATGCCATGGTTTAATACTATGACAAGATAACCAAAATAATCATTGGATATGAGTGAACCAAGTAGATAGATGTGTTCAACAGTTGTTTTAACAAGGTACAGCTTGTACAGAAGCTGACGATGTGGTCTCTCATCTAATCCTGCCTCATTACACCTCCCTCTGATGATATTGTATTACATATAAACCGTAGGAAGACAGAAATTAGCAGTGAATTAGACAGAGTAGGAATGATGGCCACTCCTTTTTTTCTTTTTGTTTATTGTTCCAGCCCAGCAAATCCTTCTTGTCCAATAACCTTGCTTTGAATTTCACTTTCACTTATCCTGTTGGACCCTGTTGTGTCCCCGGGGTGCTAACCCTGACTTAGCTGTCTTATATGATGGGTTACCAATGGGACATTTTGCAGCTTTGAAGGTGACCTCAGATGAAAACACACAGCCCTCCATCTCTGCTCTTACACTAGTTCATCTTGGGTGAGGTGAAACAAGGTGACACTTATATATAGCCCAAGACACAACAGCCTTTCTTTCCATCTTGCATACCTTCTGTGTGTTTGTGTGTGTGTGACAGAGGACAAAGAGGATGCACGTTTCTTATTGATTTAAGCATTTGCTGTGTCTTTGGACTTTAAGGGACTTTTTAAAGTGGGGTTGTATGAAGTACTTATCCATAGTCAGAGTAATATATACAGTAGATGTCAGTCAGCATGCCCCCAGGTTGAAGAAGCAGGCTGGATGCTGACATGGAAGCCAGGCAATTTACTGCTGTGGAGAGATAGCAACAAAATGTATTTTTGCCACCTAAGAAACATCCCACCTTAAAAAAAAATCAGTGTCAGTTTAAGTCTACACTATATTGTGAGTTTTTTCGCTGCCTTACCTGAATGTCAGACAGTGATTTCAAACAGGAAAATGAAGCTGTTATGTTGCTCTCTTCAAAGGCAGACTCCCAAAACTTCAGCATTGCTGATCAGAGGAGCTGCTGGTCTACCTCTTTGTGTTATTGTGTGACTTTGGGGTTTGGAAGGTTTAGTTCAGATTGTGAGAGTCACACAATAACACAAACTAACCAACTGATTAAAGCAGCGGAGGACCAGCAGCTCCCTTGTTCAGCCAGCTAAAATCACTGTTTTTCTCAATGGAGTCTGGTTGCTGTGGTGAGAACATAGA